GGCGGAGCTGTGCCTCCCCGGGGCTCCCTGCCACGCAGGGACCCACGCCGGCAACATCCACCACATGGCACGGCGTGAGCCCCCAGTGCTTCCCCCAGCTCCGGCTTTGTCAGCAGCTCAAACTCTGACATCTTCTCACTTTCCAGATTTCAGCACGGGGGTTTGGAGATGTGCTGGTACAGAGGTTAAAATCCCCCCAAGCAGCATGGAAAGCTGTTCTTCCTGGTGCCCTGGTTTTTTTGGCCGCAAAAAAAAGGTACTGGGGCAATGGGGATGAAAGCCATAGGGGATGTATTAGCTGTTTCTACAACAAAAATGAAAACCACCATTCACACAGCAAAGAACATCAGCCCACTGGGCTGCGAGAGAGGATCTGCAACGTTGCCACTGGAGCTGTGGTGCCTCCGGCTCTTTGCACCAGTCTGGGGTAGGATTAAATGGGAACAAACCCCATCCATCAGGGCCTGCCCAAAACAGGCTGCAGAGCAAGGAGAGCCACCCTTCATCACCCCCCCCAGCCCCACAGCTTGTTTTGTGCCCGGGAAAGGGCTGTACATCCCACTGTGCCTCCGTGCCAGCCAGCGTGCAGCACGACGAGATGACCCGCAGCAAGAGCCTGGGATGCAACGGGTGATTTGGGGCATAATCTCCAGTCCTGGGCTGCAAGGGACGGGCAGGGCAACACCAGCAGCACTCAATCAGTTTGCCCTCGTGTCGTGTTTGGAGCCGCAAGGAACATTTCTGCAGCAGGGCATGCTCATTCCCAGCCCCTCCCGTTACCACACTGGGCATGGATTTGGCCGGGAACGGACCCGTCTCTGCTGCAGCCCCGGGGAGAGGCAGCAATCCCCATCCAAGCTCTACAGGCGGCTCGGAACACAACTAAAAGCGAGAGGGGCTGCTCCGCGACCTTTAGCCAGCCCTAAAACAGGGACACCCCGCCATCCCGACTTACGTTGTCGTTGGGGTAGAGGACACGGGATATGTTCTCCGCCAAGTTTCTGTCCAGCACGGCCTGGATGTAGTCTCCGACGTTGACTGGGGAGGAGCAGAGGGATAAGGTAGGTGCAGGACCCGCCCTGTGCCCCGTCGCCCGCAGCACCCCACCAGCACCCACTTACAGTCCCGCAGGTTGAAGTCGTTGGGTGCCCGAGCCGACCACAGGCGCATGGTGTTGACGGTGTTGTTCATGTACCCGGGCACGGGGGTATCGTAGGGCAGCGCCAGCACCACCTAGGACATTGGCAGGG